CGAAAATGCAGTCTGAGCGGTGTGTGCTCTTGGGAAAGCCAATTCGTTCCAGAAACAACCTCAGAGCTTTGCAAAAAAAAATCTGACAAAAAAGCAACCCGACACGAGTTATGATTAGCTGAGTTGCAGGTGAATGCGACTTGCCCAAAAGACTCAGGTGGTCAACTCCTGCCCAGACGCATTCAAAAGGGTTAGAACTCTTCCACTGTACTTCGCGAACCACATCTTCATTCATCGGGCTCAGCATGCCTCACAGAATCATGCCAAAAGAAATGGCCTTGCCAGAACCTCACTCTCGGAATACGGCAAAGGTGCATGCCGGGAATCGGTGGCACCGGTACCACTTGCGGTTGCCGCGCGGGGCGGCCTCCCATCTGGCCGAACCTGGGCTGCCGCACCTTGGACACGTGCTGTAATCCGAGGGCAGCGCAGGCGGGCAGGGAGGGACCTGAGCCAGCTCCTCAGCCGTGGGCGGCGCCCTGAAGGTGGAAGGCTGGGCAGCCGGGGGCGAAGACAGAGCCGTCTGCACCAGGAGGAAGAGGGAGAGAGAGGGAGAGACGGGGAGAGAGGGAGAGAGGTGTGAGTGCGTGTGTGTGTGTGTGTGCGCGTGTGTGCGTGCGCGTGCGCGTGCGCGTGCGCGTGCGCGTGCGCGTGCGCGTGCGCGTGCGCGTGTGCGTGCGCGTGTGCGTGTGCGTGTGCGTGTGCGTGTGCGTGTGCGTGTGCGTGGGCGTGCGCGTGCGCGTGCGCGTGCGCGTGCGCGCGCGTGCGCGCGTGCGCGTGCGCGGCGTGCGCGCGCGCTGGCGCGCGTGGCGTGCGCGTGCCGGGCGTCGCGGCGTGCGCGCGCGCGCGTGCGCGTGCGTGCGCGTAGCGCGCACGCGCGTGGGCGTCGCGCGTGCGGCGGGCGTGCGCGTGGCGTGTGCGCGTGCGCGCGTCGCGCGTCGTGCGCGCGCGCGTGCCGCGCGCGCGTGCGCGTGCGTCGCGCGTGCGCGTGTGCGTGTGGGTGTGTGTGTTTTTACCCAAAGGTGTCGCCGAATCTCTGTCTAGGGAAACCAAGCAATCACACTTGTTTAGCAATCAAAAACAAACTATTCACTAGGGAAACCAAGCAAGCACACATTGCAGAATTGCTGCTCTGACATTGTTTTCATGCGACGGCTCCAATTCGGTGAGGCAACCTCGCAACAAATTCCGCGCACATGCAGCCTCATCACGGGAGTCAGCTCAGTCCTAAGCGATCAAGTGACATGACAGCCGGAGAGGGAGGAAGAGGGAGAGAGAGGGAGAGACGGGGAGAGAGGGAGAGAGGTGTGAGTGCGTGTGCGTGTGCGTGTGCGTGTGCGTGTGCGTATGCGTGTGCGTGTGCGTGCGCGTGCGCGTGCGCGTCGCGTGCGCGTGCGCGTGCGCGCGTGCGCGCGCGTGCGTGTGTGTGCGTGTGGGTGTGTGGGTGCGTGGGCGCGTGGGTGCGTGGTGCGTGGGCGGTGCGCGCGCGTGCGCCGCGCGCGCCGGCGCGCACGTGCGCGCGGCATGCGTGCGTGCGTGCGTGCGTGCGTGCGTGCGTGCGTGGGTGGGTGGGTGGGTGGGTGTGTGTGTGTGTGGGTGTGGGTGTGGGTGTGTGGGTGTGTGGGTGTGTGGGTGTGCGTGTGTGTGTGTGGGTGCGTGGGCCCGCGTGTGGGTGCGCGCGCGCGCGTGCGCGCGCGCGTGCGCGTGCGCGTGCGCGTGCGTGCGTGCGTGCGTGCGCGCGTGGGTGGGTGGGTGGGTGTGTGTGTGTGTGTTTTTACCCAAAGCTTTCGCCGAATCTCTGTCTAGGGAAACCAAGCAATCACACTTGTTTAGCAATCAAAAACAAGCTATTCACTAGGGAAACCAAGCAAGCACACATTGCAGAATTGCTGCTCTGACATTGTTTTTTGCGACGGCTCCAATTCGGTGAGGCAAACTCGCAACAAATTCCGCGCACATGCAGCCTCATCACGGGAGTGCGAGTGCGAGTGCGAGTGCGTGTGCGTGTGCGTGTGCGTGTGCGTGTGCATGTGCGTGTGCGCGTGCGCGTGTGCGCGTGTTCGCGTGCGCGCGTGTGCGCGTGCGCGCACGCGCGTGTGCGCGCAGTGGGTGGGTGGGTGGGTGGGGTGGGGTGGGGTGGGGTGGGGTGGGGTGGGCTGGGCTGGGCTGGGCTGGGCTGGGCTGGGCTGGGCTGGGCTGGGCTGGGCTGGGCTGGGCTGGGCTGGGGTGGGGTGGGGTGGGGTGGGGTGCTGTGGGGGGGTGCGGTGCGGTGCGGTGCGGTGCGGTGCGGTGCGGTGTGGTGCGGTGCGGTGTGGTGTGGTGTGGTGTGGTGTGGTGTGGGGTGGAGTGGGGTGGGGTGGGGTGGGTGGGGTGGGCGGGGTGGGTGGGGTGGGTGGGGTGGGGTGGGTGGGGTGGGTGGGGTGGGTGGGGTGGGGTGGGTGGGGTGGGGTGGGTGGGGTGGGAGGGGGGGGGGGGGTGGGTGGGGTGGGGTGGGTGGGGTGGGGTGGGTTGGGGTGGGTTTGGGTTGGGTTGGGTTGGGTTGGGTTGGGTTGGGTTGGGTTGGGTTGGGTTGGGTTGGGTTGGGGTGGGGTGGGGTGGGGTGGGGTGGGTGGCTGGGTTGGTTGGAAGGTTGGAAAGTTGGTTGGTTGCTTGTGTGCTTGTGCGCTTAGTTGCTTGCTTGCTTGGTGCGTGGGTTTGTGGGTGGGTTAGGTGGGTCGGTTGCTTGGTTCTTGCTTGGTTGCTTGGTTGGTTGGGTGGGTTGGTTGGTTCGGTGGGTACTTGTAGGTATTGTTTGCAGTGCTCTGTGTTTGGGCCATCATCGTGTTCATAGGATCCTCTCACAAACAATGATCGAACATCTTTGCTGTTTTGGGCGTCAGACAGGTCGAAAGACCCGCATGCAGTATTCTGGCTAGACTCACACCCTCACAACCACCGGGGTCTCTCGGGATGCGGAAGTGCTAAACCCGGAACTCTATGCTTCAGGCGAGGGCTGCCTTTCTAGACATGGGAAGTGTGTCCTTAAGCATCAATCGAGTCCCGGATCTTTCAAACAGACGGCGAATCCATTGGGCGGGACAGCCGCTAATCTAAGCCTGTCCCAAAGTTCAGCAGCTCCCAAAGCCAACCGACCTTTGGTTCCACTACATGCTTATACAGGTTTGAACGCCTCTTCCAAATGAAACCACGTATGAGAACCATCTTACAGTGACCATGAATCGATGGAGGGGGGTTGTCCCCTCAACTCAGGTCCTTCCAAACGAGTCCCGTTCCGGCGCCCCGGCTTGATCGCCCCTATGAGGTCCTCATTGCTGTCAGCCCGCGCGGCTTCTGGCCGCCTCCCATGGCTTCTAGAAGAGGTCTCCCTAAACCGGGGATAAGCGTCTCAGGCGAAAGATGCGGAGTAGGCACCGTACCATTTGGAACTTGAATTCAACCACAGAGTGAACTTTAAAAATCGATCCAGATGTGTTGCCAATCCACAATATCCATGCAAATATGCGCCTTAGCCAGGCATGAGAATCCGATTTGGCACGTGCAAGCTCAGAAGTATGTGCGCGTGTGTCTCTGGCCTTGTTTCAGTGCCTAAATCCTGCAATTGATATGTGGCAAACACAGTCATGAAAGGAATATGGACAACTTCTACAATTCACAAACTGGGCATAAAGAGTCTGCAAAAAAGGAGCTTCATGGGCCATGGGCTTTCGCTTGTCGTGTCTTGCGAAGACCCCCCCCCAACCCCAATTTGCCAAAATACGCTTAGACGCTCAGCCTAAACAGGATTCCGGTTCTCTCTTTGACTCCATCGCCCCACTAAAGCTCTCTAAAAATCGGCCCAACAGCCCGATGTTTAAACAATGGGAGGGCATGTGTCGCAAATTGCCCAACAATGGCGGGTTCGCTCCTTGGTTTTCTTAGGGAAGCAATAAAGGAAACTATGAGGGGTTGATTTCTAGAAGGCATTCCGTCGTTCCCGAAGCAAAAAGGACGGCCCACCCTGGCCCAGGCTGAGGGCAAGGCAGGGCTGCCACACTCGCCAGCAGCACCTGGCGAAAACTTTGACGGGACTTTGGTCGAAAACTCAGGAAGTGTTCTCTGGCTTTGCGAGTGAATTGGCAACAAGCGAAGGCGACTCTTGACGTTTGCCACTGAATTAGTCTCCCAAAAGGCTTGAAGTCCATGAATTCAGGAAGGTCTATGACCCATTGAGGGGCGTGGAGGACGAGCCCGAAGCTTCCCACAAAAAAGAGTCGCTCTGATCTACCCCTGTCCACCGAGAGTAAAAGCAGGTGTTGACCCTTGGTTTGCCGTTGGCCAACTTCAAGAAAATCTGTCAAATGCTAGCATCTGCTTCTGCTGAGAACGCACACTGAATTCAGGCATCCGATGTTCTCACCCTTCAAGCCTCGGCCTCATAGACAAGCTCGCTCTTCTTCTTTCTTTGGCTCAAACATATGCATCCGATTTGGTTGGCTTCCTTTTCAGCCCGTTCCGAATGAGAAAAAACAACACGTCGGAGACAATCATTGACAAGGCCGCAACCTGCATGTTCTTTTTGTCTGCTGGCATAGGTTTCTGTCACGAGTGCACAAAATATCATTGTGCCGCATTGACTGTGAACTCGTCGCCCCCCCCACCCTCCGTGTCGGTTTGTGTTTAACTTGCTTGCCCACTCAGTCATCTGAAATCTCCAAAACGGCACGTGTTTCTATCATCACGCGAGCAGCTTTGCCGAAAGTTGGAGAATATAGTGAAGTGAAACCATTCGCGGCCTCATGGCCAGAAACTTGATGCATTTGCCTGAAATTGCCTGCTGAGCATTAGCAGCTGCCGATTCAGCTCCATCCCTGCAGGCAACACAAGCCAAGAACCAAGGCCCATGTGTCAAAGGGGCAGAACCGGGCAAAGACACGGCACCCCGTCTTTGCCTCTTGAAGGTTCACCAGTTCCCCAGTTCTGGCCATGGACTGCCAAAACTTCCCCTGGAATTGGCAGTCCCTTCACTGGAATTCCAATCTCGGCGCCCTCACCTTCGCCGTTTGCTTCGGCGCTTCGCCCGCCGGGCGGCTCCGGCGCTTCCGGCGACTCGGCGCCGTGTCCGCCGGCGGCTCCGGCGGGAGGAAGCGCCAGCGGGTGCGGCGCAGGCCGCACTGCTGCGCAGAGAGGCGCTGCAGCTGGCGGTGGAGAGAAAGAATATGGCAGATCTCGGCCAGAGGCTGCGAATCGTCCGGCACCTCTTCCCAGCCATCCACCTATAGCTCCAGCTTCAGTTTATGTTCATTGGGAAAACCCATGGATTGGTCAGTGGCAAAGGAAACCTGCGTGTTCTCTTTTTTGGTGTTCGGGGGGGGATCAACAGCGGTGCACAGCAAAAGACGTCCGCCTGGCGCCCGCGTCTCTCATTTTGCCCTCCGACCTCGTGCAGCTCTGGTTCCCGCTGCAGCTGCTGGGCGATGGCGAGCAGCCGCACGTCGTCTTTGAAGGCCAGGCGCGCGTCTTCTTTGGGACAGGGCGGCATTGCCGACGCCTTGGGAGCCCACCAGCCCCGGAACCACTCAGGCTCCTGCAGGGCTGGAGTCCCATGCTGTGAACACCCATGAGAGTGTCGGAAAGCCCCATTTTACTGAAGGCTAGATACGGCTAGAACAATTTGACGGGAGGGAGCATGAGACACCCTCCCAAGAAGGTGGAGTTGTAAAGCTGCGCCAATCGCAGCCACAAGAGGAACTTCCTTATTTCACCCCATAAAAGCCCCCACCGCAAAGCAAAAACACAAGAAAAGGGCAGGCAGCTGGCTCCTCCGCCAGATAGATGACCCGGCCCCTCACCTGAAAGTAGTTGTCCCTACTGCAAACACTCAGCAAAACATCTTCCTCCGCCTCCACCCACGGCGGCCAGTCCGCCTCGTCCGCCTCTGCCTCGTCTTCGTCGACCTCCCCATCGTCTGGAGGATTACTGAGAGCCCGTGCCTCTCCCTGGGGCCGTCTTTGCGAGGAGCAATAGGTATAATCAAGTAATCATACTGTCGATGGACGAAATCCACTTCGCACCACTTTGAAACAATGGCTTTCCCTCTGTTTGCTGGTATTTACAGGCCAATCATTATTCCGGGGTTCTTGGGTGGTGCAGGATTTCGTCCATCCACAGTACTAATCATGTTTCAGCAACATGTCATGTGGCCATGGGTCAAAATCCCGTACTCCCAGTGAACATCCCAATCCCCACTAAACTAGAGTGGGTGGTGCACCTACCCCGAAATGGTACCATTTTTGACCCACAGCCATGTAAACCTGTGTCCTTGCTTCACAAAGGTCAGAACACAAAAGTGTCCAACTCTCCCATTTGGTTGGTTGACCCCTCAAACTGCCAGCACCTGGGCGACTGTTCCAACGGGCAATGGAACCAAACATCGTTTTGCAGAATCCAGATTGATTAGCCCGCTCAACAAACTTCTAGAAAAAAAAACACGCACACACTTGCCAAAAAAACAGTCGGCTAGCCCAGTCCATGTTCAACAAACTTCTAGAAAACAACGAAACGCACAAACTTTCCAACAAACAGTCGGCTGACAAGCCAAAGCAAGTTGAACACTGAACACTAAACCGATGTTCTCTCTTGGTCATCCTCTCACCTTTCGCAGGAAGAAGGCCACCTTTGAGGCATCAGGAACCAAGCGCTCCTGATAGCAGGCCTCCACCGCATCTCGCCTACGTGTTCTGAGGATCACCCTATTTTGAGACATACCCACCCGGCAATGGTCTCCCAAAACGCGTGGCAAATCAGCAAAACACTGGATATCCGCATCTATCCTGTTCATGGCAAAGGTTATAGCAGAGCTGCATATGTGCCTTTGTGTGAGTCATGTGTTGACGCCAAGAAAGCAATATGTATCAAGAAAGAGAAGTACTGCGGATTCGTGGATGGGCAAACTCCTGCACCAGTTGGTAGGTGTTGTTTTTCCGGTATTCATAGGATCTTAACCATCCCAACTCGTGCAGGATTTCGTCCATCCACAGTACGGTGATTGGTATGTTATGGGCTGTGCCCTAGCCGTCCCGTTCCGTCATCGGGCAAGGTCCGGGGAAGCAGTAACTTTTCGCAAGTCAAATCGTCCGCACACCTTGCCTGCATGTGCCTGCTTAGAGCTGCCCAATATTGTTCTGCAGGTCCACTTACATCCAGCGTATTACAAACGTTTTTGTGCGAATCCGGTTGGCAAGCTTCTCACGGAAGGCAGGAATAGCATTCATTTGGACGCTAAGGAACGAGTCGAAAGTGTATTTAAAGCGCATCATTCTAGACTGTTGATGTTGAAAGCACATAGAACGTTTACTAAAAAAAGGCACACAGCCTCATCGGTCAAGAACTACAACCTCACCAGACATAAATACATGTAGTTCCCTTGTGTTCCCTCATGATCAGATACGTTTCGCTGCGGAATTCGTGCTGATTTGCAGAGCACTGCAGCAGTGCATTACGATGCAGCCAGGCGTCACAAGAGGAAACGGCAGGTCGTCGGCGACCCAGCCGGGCGTCGCAAGAGGAAACGGCGGGTTGAAAGAGGCCAAGTCGTCAACCACAACCGGCGGGTCTTCCAGCGCGGGCTGGCATTCCTGGGTCAATAGGACAATTGGCAGAACGGCCACTCTCTTGGTTCCCCTTTGGGAAAGACGAATATGACAGCTAGATGGGTGTTACATAGGAAAACACGGAAATGAACAAAAGTCACATCCCGGCCCTGTTGGTTTCGACCGGCTATGTAGCACCCAGATTCCGGCCGCCCGGCGAAGAAAGGCCCCTGATCCGCTTGAAGCGGCTCCGATCCCGTGCTGGTGGAACAGCTCGAAGCGCACTCGTTAGCATGGATGAGGTGGTCAAGGGAATTGCGTGCCTTCAGTGGTTGCAACTTGTCTTAAACATGAAACGAAAAGGCCCTGGCCCCCTTTAGATGGGAAATCAATATGTTTGAACACTAGCGCGGTACACATGTTCAAACAGATTGGCCAAATCTCTGCCTTCATATGGTTCAAAAGCGTTTGCAACAAGTCCTCAGTGGTTTCCATTGCTGGGATGGACCAGGTGCGCGCATGCGCAGATTCTAGCTTGAGCTGGAAACCGAGTCGTGTTGCCGGTGCTGCCAAAAGCGCGAGTCGGAAACCAGCTGTTAAAGATGCAAAAGCCACTGTTTCAAGCAACATCCTGCGGGTGTCCCTTTAAAGGAACTGGACCCGGGGTCGTTTCTCCACTGGCGGATTCCACTTTTCTCCTCCAGATTCAAGCGTGAAACGTAAAAGGCTCATGCAACAGTCTTCTCCACATGCAAATTTCCAGGTGCTGGCCATCGACTTCCCGCGGCGAGTTTTTGCCTTCAGGATGTAAGACGAGCACACGAGATCTCCGTTTTGTCAACAAGCCCCAGCCGGTGTTGGGTTGCTTTTGCTAGGGAAACCGCGTGCCAGCAAAGACTTCGCCGGAAGCTTCACTCGGCGCCGGCCATGTCCTGGTTCATCTTCTTGAAGCCCACGAGCTCCTTGAAGATGTACCTCGCTCCAAAAAACCGAAGCTCGGGAGTTCTGGACTGAGAGCTTCGAGCTTCGAGCTTCCCCCAGTTCTTGGAGAAAGCAAAAAACATCACCACACAAATGGCCACTTGGGGGAGGGGGATCAGTCTTTTCCTGGGTTCAAATGGCTGTGGTGGTCCAAACCGCTTTGGGATCCCGTTTTGGGGGGTAGGTGAATTCACCACCCATTTTAGAACCTATTTTAGTGGGGATTGGGATGTTCACTTGGGGTCCGGGCTTTTGACCCATGCCCAAATGGAAGGAGACTCCCGCATGGGAGCAAAACGTCCCACAAGCGTCCATGATTGAAAATCGTTTCACGGATTTGGCCACATGGGAAGGGAAGGCCATGGGAATCATGTGGGTGGTTCTCAACAAAGGGGACCCGACCCCCAAAACAAGAATCGTCTTGGGGTCCCTCTAAAAACCCAATGGCGACTTGGCGGCAAAACTGCATTTGGAGGGGGAAGTCACCGATCCCACGCTCCCAGTCTCAAATGTTCCCATCCGCCCAAGTCCCACTTCCTGCACTGGGGCGGTTTTAGAGGGACACTAATCGCAGTTTGCCCCTGAGGGACCCAGAAAATGAAAGGTTCACGTGTTGGGGCGACTAAAAATGGTTGCAAAGGGGAAACCCAAAGATGTCACTTCGATTCGGGTCGATTCGCGGTTGCAAGTGAGTAAGAACAGGTTCCCCCAACGCCAAGCCACTCCAGGATTCTCTTGGAGGACCGCTTGTCGCCCAGCTTGTGGGTGACGCCCAGTATTTCCCCGGCCTCGAAAGTCAGTCTGGTCTCAGTGGATGTCGCTTATATCAAGAGTTCGGCCTTTGGGCATTTCAAATGGTTTCAAAACACCCGAAATTAGCTCAATGTTTTCCACTGGAAAGCCCCCTGTATTCCAACCCATTGAGCTTTGGCTATTCAGCCCCCAAGTTTCCTTTACAAACCAATGGCTTTGGCTCTGGCGCTCTGGTTTTCGAGCTATCAACATCCAAACCTCCGCAGGTCCCGAAACGGGCCGGAGCCTGTCGGATGTAGAAGTCTAGGTCATCATCTGTGCACCTCACTGGCTGCTTGGTCTAAACCATCTGCAGCGTGAGACACCGACATGCCGTGCTACCAGTTCAAATGCAAAAAACAGTGCTGACTGACGATCACAGAGCTAGAACCAAGCACTACTAGGACTACTACTGGTACTACTGCTACTACTACTACTACGACTACGACTACGACTACGACTACTACTGCTACTACTACTGCTACTGCTACTACTACTGCTGCTGCTACTACTAACAATAGCAGTAATTAAAAAAAAGATAATAACAATAACTAAATAGTTACTTAAGTACATAAATGAATGAATAAATAACTCAATAAATAAATAAGTATTAATAATAATAGTAATAATGATAATAATAATGATAATAATAATGATAATAATAATGATAATAATAGTAATAATAATAATAATAACAAAAATAATAATATGAAAATAGTAATAATAATAACGGTAAAAACATATTAATAATAATACTGATAATAACAATAATAATTATAATATATAATTATAAAAACACGACGGCAAAACCTCTGGGGCCGTGGCTTGTTGGTCAACTGCGCCAACCGTACCCGCTCGGACGCGAACTGCTCGTCCTGGAAGCACGAGACTCTAGCCGCTTGAGATCGGCTGGGTAGGTCTGAAGCAACAAGTTGAGTATCATCTCTCCCTCTAACATGGCACCTGACAGGGGGTCCCAACAAGAGGACATGTATCTTCCAGCTACCCTCCCACAGGCGCTAGATTCGAGGAAGGAAGGGTATGTGTCAAAACTCCCATGAACAGTGGGCTTTTTGGGCTCTCTTTAAACCAACCTTACAATGAATACCTTCAAAACAAAACACACCCATGAACGTTTGGAGCTCCGGCTTGAGCTGACAGGTAAAACCAAAAGGCTCAGGTTGGAACTTCACCTGAGGAAGTGCCCTGTAGTTGGGTCCCAGGAACATCCCAAACGCCGTGGTTCGTCGAAGGCTCGTAAAAGCGGAGAGCTTGTGCCATCCGAGGGGGTGGACCCAGGTGGACCACGTAGAACTAAGTCTATCTCGTCCTGCCCCTCACATCCATCTTCTGGGTATGACGTGGACATCATTGAAATGAAGGCTCATGTCATTTATATCCATTCTTGAAGGGGTCCCAACAACATGTTACCCCCTGAATGCCGCCACGCCCCCCTGAACCTGTACCAAAGTCTGCAAATTGTCAAAACTCCAAAACGGCATGGTCTGTCGAAATTCAAGCGCTTGACCATCCTTAGCAACCCGTTGAATCAGATGTTTACACCTTTAGAGGGGGAATTTTGGGGATGGCTGACATGGCTGACAAAAATGTAAAGCCACAGAAAACCGATTTTAGTAAGAACTTTAAGTAGGGTCCCTTTGCACATCATGCCGGTGGGGAGTTCCGACTTTTCACCACCTACTTTTCAGCAGGTTCCAGCCACTAAAACTCATATGGAAGCCGTTTCTCATTTAGAAAAGTCATGTGAATCAGAGGGTTCCAACCACCACTTTTCACGTGTCAGAGGGTTCCAACCGCCGCTCCCATCCAGAGGGCTTTCTCGCTGGGTTTCGGGCCAGGTCAAAGAGGTCGAGGCTGGGCGGCGGGGGCTCCCGCAGGCAAGGAGGGAAGACCTGAGGTTGTCTCAACCCCCCGCCTTTTGGTTGGAAGCGGTGGACTCAAAAAAAATGCCTTGTGTGGGAAAAAAATGGGGCATGGAAAAAGTCGGCTTTTGAGGAAAAAATGGGTGGGCATGGGAAACGTGGGCTTTTGTGGGACCCTCACCCACTTGGCAAATTCTGCGAATTTCCAAAAACGGAAAGCAGCCTTCATCATAGGTTTTCGCTCGAGAACCTCGCTCGTATTGCCAAATTGCAACACTTAGAGGCGGGTCCTGCCCACAACAATTGCGAGCTAAATCCCGCAAGCCTTAAGTCTTGGATTTCGCGCCATGATATACCTTCTACATGCGTGCATACCACCTCTGGTTGCGACGCACTGCTTCGCAACCGTCAAATGATAAATCCGCTGAGCCTCTGTGTGTTGAAATGCGCAAAGAGAAAACACCATGCTCTGCAAGAAGTGCTGCAGACCCGTCGCAAAAACAAAAAAAAACAACTGGTAGGGCTCATGGATTTTATCGGTGGCCCAGGTCTCACTCTGCGAGACCAAATGGGCAGGCCGCGCTTGCCAGGCCGCACGTTTGAAGCCACTGGCGCTGTTTACATATGACCCCCTGCCCCTACTTAAGGACATAGAGACATGTTGGGACCCTCTTCCACCACCCTGTTTCCCCACGCAAAAAGGGCTGGAGGCGACAGCCGATCTGGTTTCAATAGGTGGCTTGGGGGGGGGGACACATGCAAGGTGAAAAGGTGTGTTGAGAAGCACTGCCCGCCTGTTTTCACCTGACTTCAATCGTTTTGATGCAACTTTACATCTCACCAAAGGTCTGAGATTTCAAAGGCCCTGGCGACTGGCCTTCGGAAGGTATGCCAGGCATAGGTTGTTGAACACCAGCCGACTCGCCTGCAGCTGGGAGTCGATTTGCGGACTCAGCTCCAGCTCTTGCTGCAGGCGTAAGGGCACCATAGAGCTGGCGGTCGATGTCCCGCACAAGACGCTCCTCGTCTTTTCTGGCTTGGCGCATCTGGACTTGATAGACTGCCACCATCCCAGTGAGGATATGCATCGCCCAAAGAATGAGCCACGCGATAACGAAGGGCGTCCTTGTAAACCTGCTTTTGAAAACCAAGGTGGTGAAGATGGCAGCGTCAAAGTCGTCAACCGGCGCCAGGAAGACCGCGAGAAGGACGCCCAGCAGCAATCCCCTGAAGAAAATGAGCTGACCCATGCTGTTGCAAAGGCGTCGTGCTTCCGTGCTCGACACGGCGCTCAGTAGGAACAGTGGGCCCCCAATGGCTGCATTCCATCGGGTGATCCAGGGCAGCTCTTCGGCCAGTTTGCATCTGGTGACAAAAGCTGTGGACAGAGTGCAGAATAACAGCGCAGCTCCCACAAAAAGCAGAGATGTCGCGAGGTCCACACTGAGTGGCTCTGCCAAGCTGATCATCATTTTGGCCACCAGGTTGTCTCCGTCTTTGGCCCAATCTGCTTTCACTTGGTCTTGCAACCTGTTCTGCACGCCGATCAATGCGTGCTCAATAGGTTGGCCTTGGATGTCCTCTGACTCAAACGTGTACAATGTGCGGGCGAATTTGTCGATTTCGTTATCGAAAAAATCTGAGAATTTGGAACCAAAGAGTATCAGGCATCTTGAGGTCAGCAAGAAAATGGTAGCCACCTCGACGAGAATGATGTCGATGGCGTAATGCGCCCAGATGGGGGCTTTTTGGTGCCGCTCTTTAAGTCTCCGTCGCTTCGCCACCCCTGCTGCCAATGGGGAGATGGAGGAAATCAGAAATGTCAAGCCGAGCACAAATTCGTGGCCCCAAACCCTCCATGTCAACACCCCAACGCCATCGCCAGGTCTGAATTTACGATGTGCCCGGATATGATGTCGGCGATTACATTCCAGGGAACCACATGGGCCAAGACTGCTCCACCCCCCACCAGCCTGCTCACAAAGCTCCGCACACTTGTTTCCAGCGCTTCGCTCCTCTTGATCTTCTCCACTAAGGCCAGGTATGTGAACCTTCGAGAAAACCAAATCGAACAAAGAACCACCAGCTCAAGACCAAGCCAAAAAAAAGTACGCCTGCACAAAACCTGAAAACGTTTGCCATCTCTGGTAAGGAGCTGGTTAAAGATCTGCATTTGCCCTTCCGGGGGGGTTGGATCCACACAGGCTTCGTAGCCGCAGAGATTATTGTCTTCTGGACGCTCGGGGGCATTCGGAACCGGCACTGCTTGCCACCTTGACAACTGGCAACGGCCTGCTTTCCAAAGCGCCTCATCAGCCAAGTGCATGTTTTCTGAAAAGTCGTAGGGCCACACCGTGCTTCTCTGAAGAACTGTCACCAGGTCAGTCTGATTCAGGGCCTTCCGGGTCTCGCAGCCAAGTTTCAAGCCAAAAGGCAGGTCCAGGCTGCAAACATCCTCTTGGTCTTGCAAGAGCTTCAACAACTCAGTTGTTTTCCCCGTTTCTTTGAAAGCTTTGTCCTCCAAGAGAGGTCTGCCAACTGACATTGACAATTGGCATACAGGGGCCTCCACCACATGGCGGCTCGCTAAATAGAAGCTGACCATGGACCTTGGTTGGACAAGGGGGATTGTGAGGGGGAACATCCCTACACGCCGAACTGAAGCTTATGGGGCCTTGTCATTGATGTGAGGCAAGAGGGCTTCCGATGAAACGTACGCCCAGGGATTTCGAGGCGTGTGAAGGCACGTGTTCGCCCGTTGTGAAAGAATTCAGTGTCGACACGATGCTGCAATAAGCAAATGACCATCAGAACGTGACAGTAAATGAGCGCGCTCGGCAATTCACCACAGAAAACAACAAGGGAGCCCAAGGCTAAGAACAAACACAAAACAACAACCCACATCTGGAGCTGAATCCTGCGCCACAGAGCAGGGGAATTCCTCTGCCAAGGGCTTGTCGCAACTTAAGCCGGCCCCAGGCCGGGGGCGGCTTCTCTGAGCATATCTCCCTGCCATGTTGCCAGAGTAGGAACGGAATGTCTAGATCCATCACGGCAGCTCGAGCCAGCCCCGGCTCTTCAACCTTCTCCTGAAAGTATCCTGGCTCATGACATCCAAGCAGAAAGACCAGTTCCGTGTCTTTCAAAGAAACAAATACGCTTCCTTTGGAGAACAGCAAAAATGCAGGTCGTTTTTGGTTTGGTTTTAAAGTGAAACTGAAAGGATGATTTTGAAACAAACCGCATAGAAGGTGAACTAAGCCAGGAAGCCTTGCAGGTTCGTCATGAAAAGCCCCATAGCGAGCACAATTAGCGGTGCAGCGTACGTTACGTTCATGTCATCATCGTCTAGCCCCATTGCCAGCTGCCAACCAGCTCCAGACAAAGAGGGCCACTGGCAGAGTCGCGGACATCTTCCGGCACTCTGCCATGCAACGGTACAAGGTTATGGATACACTTGCGGTAAGACGGTTCTGGCTGGAGCCCCAGGCGCAACGGTTGCTATGCCCAACTGCCACACTCTGTCCACCCAGCGAGCTCACCTTCCGGATCCCTGCTCAAAAATTGTATCATCAGTTGAGTCACTCAACTCAGGAGCCCAATCCCCCTCCCAAATGGTGAATTTTGTGGTTTCCGCGAGGCCGCGAGTGTCGCTTTACAAGCAAAACCCATGGGCTCCCAATCGTTTCCGGTTCGCCCACGGAATCCTGTGCGGACATTCGTGGGTTGGGCCTTGCATTGCTCACAGAACTCTCTGGCGTTTGCAGGATTGACCTGCAAAACCTGGGTGCTTGTTTTTGCGCGATTCTTTTTTTCATGGGGTAGAGTTAGAAAGAAAGAAAGAACAAAAGAAAGAAAGAAAGAAAGAAAGAAAAACCCAAAGACAAAAGCAAGTCAAGAAGAAAGAAAGCCCGATACTGGTAAGACAAAAGCAAGTCAAGAAGAAAGAAAGCCCGATACTGGTTTTGGCTCAAGGCCGCCCTCAGGCTGCCCGGCAGCGGGCTGCAGCGCCGGCATTGGAGTCTCGAACTGCGGAGGGATGAGCGTCAACCTGCGAGCCACGTGGGCACCCTTCAAGACTGTGGTCCAAGCCTTCTGTGAGCTTAGAAAGCAGACTGCCCTCGGTGGTTCATCCCACGTATTCATAGTTGCATCAATCCGTTTTGCTATGATAAGTGAAAGAACATGAGACTGCCGATGTCAGCAATCCATGTGCATGCAGTTCAAAGCGGTCCTTTTCCTGTGGCGTGCTTACTATAAGCTATTGTCATCTGTACTATGGCTGTCCTGGATTCATGCACTCCATGGTTCCGCAATGGCAACCCAGGAATAGTGAGCCCCCAGTTTATCTATAAGGGGGAGGCCCGTATTTTGAGGGGAGCCTTCAGTGTTGGACCAAACGCTGGAATCATCGCGGATTGCAGGCTTGACTCAGCATGTGCCTGAACGGGCAACAACAAGGCGATGTTGAAACCACCAAAAGCAACAATATGTGTAAAAATGGCGAAATTGCCAAACTGTTGATTTCCCTCTAAACATTAAACCGACCTCACGAAGAAAAAAGACCCTCAACAAAGGGCAATGGGTATGAACCTTTTATTTGGGAAACCACCTCAAAAGTGGTCGGTGGACACCCCCCTAAATGGATGTTCCAAGTAAAATTATCACTTCCTGAGTGGCTCAGACAAGTCCAAACTTTTTGTTTACCACAAAAATAGTCTTCCCGTAAAGTTTAAAGTCCAGGAACTCGGGAAGTGAGATACGATTAGGGACCCTGGCCGACCAAAACTTCTGGGAGCTGCGCGGCTCGTGCTTGACGCCCAGCTGGTGATATAGCTTCACAGCCTGGTCAAAGCATTGGGTGCATCTGGATGCGCCTTTTTGAGGGTACCCTTTTTGGGGTGGCTGCAAAGGGAAACCAACAGGACAACCACCAATTTTCGGGGTGATACACCTGGGAAATGAATCTCGGGAAATCAAGCGGCGGATTTCTCTACCAATGGAATGCTGCATCAACAGTGTCCATTGCCGAGCACCCCCCCAACAACTGCTTTTCCAATGTCCAAAATCCCAAGTACTGTTCAAAAAGCCGTGGTTGGAGGTGCTGGACCTTGCAAATCTGATTTGTAAAACCGCTCATCAAACTGATGCCGGCGAAGCACCCGCACCAAATCCACGCTCGCTTTTGTCTGATCGGAAAATGGCTTCCTCAGGCCAGGCCCGGGTGAGACAGAAGCAAACCCTTCAGGTGCCTCAAGAGGGTGTCACACACACAAGCCATTCAAAGACTCAATCAACCCGCAAAAATGGACAGGTGATAGCTAACAAAATGCTTCAAGGATCCAAGAGTCCTATGGTTCATTCAACTCGTCAGCTTCTCGGCATGGAGCTGGACCGCATCCTGGCCCATTGAGCGAGACCCCGCTGACCCGTCCGAACCTTTCAGGAGGGACACGTGGGTGGCTCTCGGTGGTCCTGTTGGTTTCCCTTTGCAGCCGACCAAAAAGGGTACCATCAAACAAAGACACGCCCGCGACCCACGTGTTTCTTTTGTTGGTTTTCAGCATGCCTCAACACTGGGACTTCCCGACTTCCGCCTCCCGAGCTTCTGCGAGAGCAGCGGGTCGCGGAAGTCGTACCCGATGTCTTCGACTCTGGTGACCTGGGCACGGGCTTAATTTGGGTGCAGCGAGAAAAAGAAATCCTAAAAACAATACCCCTCCTCTTAATGAAGAGATGCGTCAGATATGGTGTGCTTCTCCAAAGGGTCGCATATGATTTGTCGCGCCGCCGTTTTGCTTTCCCCGCTTGGCTTTGCCACACCCAAAGGCGGAAACAAAGAAGCTGTCCTTTCTGTTGGCGTCCCCTTCGCTTCCTTGCTCGCCTGGTATCTCGGGAATGTACGCATTGTGTTCTTGACGCTGCTCTAGAGCTCATCATCTTGATGAATGTCCACGGATAATTATTGGGACTCCCTGTTGACTTCCCTGCTGGCTGTTGAGGATCCGTTGGCTGCCATATGCTTGGCCCATCCACAGAAGCAGGCCTTGTCTAGCAGAAAACCGGCCTTGGTCAAGCTTCTCTACACGTGCACCGTTTATGTCTCTTATGGCCGTGACGGCAATTTTCGTTAGGCAAAGACCCGAAAGTTGAGTGGAGAAGACTTGATCAAGAGTCTTGCAACCAAGGTAGGATTTTGGAGGAGCTAAACGTTGCTGCCGCGGATAGGAGGCCCCCGGTCTAACAAAGTTTGATTTGCAGCTGTTTCGGAAAACTGCGATTCCGACTCAACGAAACACATTACTTCAGGCCACCCCTTCCACGCATTTGCTTCTATGAATGCAGCCGCCGAAGAATGCAAGCTCCACAACCTGATTTTTTTTTGGGGGGGAATGAACCTAGGGGTCCCCTTGAAGGAAGAGGGGCTGGTTGTTGAGGGGTCATTCCAACTCATTCCCTGCTCTGCTGAGAACCAAGGCAAAAGCAAACAACCCTAGTCCTTAGTCGGCCCCAATCCCGCCAGCTCCGCCTCGGATGGTTTAGGAAAAGGGATGACGCAAATCAGTTCAATGGGGAACACCCTCACACATGGTATTCCTGCATAGTTCAATGGGTTGCCGTTTTGTAGGGTATCCTCTTCTTTTTGTTCAAGGGTAACCACCAATTTTAAGGGGTCCCCTAATTTTAGAAACACCCCAATGCAGGGTTTTTGAGGTTGAATTGTCCACCCGAATGATTCGGCATCAGGCTACGAATCACGGCATCCCTTAATATTGGCCACGCAGAAGCTCTTTGCAAATGAACTTGGAAGGTTGAGGTCAGTTATGCCAGTTGCTACAACCCAGCCAACCGCCCAAACAGGAACCTCAGCACAACTCATGAACAATGTGAGACTCTCCTAGAATAGGGGACACCCAACATGGTTGCTTTCCTTGAGGGCTTCTGCGCCCATCAAAAAGCCGGTACTCGAAAAAAACAGGTTGTGGAGCCCAGACTCGGAAAGTCATTCCCGACCGACCGATCGCAAGGCCCCCGGCCGGCCCGAAGTAGCGCCGGTGGAAGCTGTTGATTCCCCCCGAGCCCTCCCAGCTGCCCAGGCCGAAGGACCTCTCCCGCGACGGAAATCTTCGCCGTTGCTTCGGTGGGGTCTTGATGCAGGGGGGGCTCGTCCTTTTTTTGGGCCAACCCCCGCTTTTTGGTTGGTTTCCAGGGGAAAGCAAAAGGACATCGAATCAACATTTGGGGAATCCAACTTTGCAAGAACACAGCCATATGGATGTGGCTCAAATAAATGTACCAAAATGGCACCTGAAATGGAACCAAAGACCAACACCTGCGTACCCCCAGCTCTTGAAGTTTGAGCCACAGACATATTGTTTTTCCCCACCGCCGGAAGCTGTGGTCCTCTGGGTTGGGTTCGGAGCCGCTTCCGGGGGTTCCGGGTATGCCGGAACCCGCGATCAGAATCCACGACTGTACCTATCGGAATATTCACTGACCATGAACAACACATTCCGGTAGTCACTGACGGCCCATCTTCCGTGGGTCATGCTCATGAAGTTCCACCTTTTTTCCGGACCCTCTGTATTGCTTGTCTAAACCCAACAAACAGTTGGTGACCATCCCTACCAAGTAAAGGCAATCGTTTGTCCAACACATGGCCAGCGAGTGCAATCAAGCAGACTGAGTGGAACTCTGAGGCTGGCGAGCGACCCAAATCAACGGTTGGCGTGCCTGGCAAAGTTGGAGGAGTCGTTGTTCATGCGGTTGAAACTGCCCTTGGGGTACCGCTCCTCGTTCGAAATACGAAGCCACTGAAACATGTTGGCGGATGTGGGAAAATTCGAGTGTATCTCTGTGTGCTGCTTGAAAAGTGCGTGAATCCCCACATGTCCCTCCCGAATGCGATCGGACCAGACTGGATATGTTCACTGAACCACAAAGCAGCTCATCCAGTGGATCCAGGAAGCGAGGCTAGGAAATGAAGCACAACGAACAAGTGTACCATGCTCAAAAGATCCTATGTGAGGATGTCTTTGAGGAGGGTACCAGGCGTACCCTGCCCGAGAGGGGTCAACTCAGGGTGGTTTCCGCTGGGCTGCGTTGCGCCACTCGGATCCGTGTTGATTGAGGGCAGGCACCACAGCCCCCCATCCCCGGAATGGCAAGTCAGAGGGAAGTGGGGGTGCCTTCTCATCAGGGTACCCTTTTTGCTTGGTATTGAAGGGAAACCAACAGGAAAACCACAGTTTTGAGTGTCCCCTAAACAACACACACACACACACAAAATGCCCAGGGCCGCTGTAATGAACCCAACATGTTCCCCTCCGTCCTGCGGCAGCAGGTTTGGCGCAGACCCTGCCAGTTTGATCGCATGTGGGCCTGATGCTTTTTGGAATCTCTTGTTGTTCAACGCGAAGCCAAAGATGCTGATCTGCTTCTCACGTATCGAGAAACCAAACTATGCAGGACAATTGGGGGGGGTTGTGGGATACCTTAAACCCAAATTTAGTCATTGCAGAATACTAAGCCTGAAAACAAGATCAGGCATGCCACCGCATGCTTCCACTTTCAGGCTTCACAAGACTTGGTTTTTCGACCTCAGGAATCACCCAAAACAAACATCGGACACGTGCACCCTTTTCTGTGGGGGTGCTTGCGCCAAAAAAATAAGCGAGTCGAGAAACCGCCTGGGCTTTCGAATCGAACAGAAGGCTAGGTCCTCCAGTAGAGAGGTTAGAATAAGGGTACCCTTTTTTCTGTAGTCTATGTTTTAGTAGGGGAACCCTCCCCCAAAGAAGGGTAAAAGGGCACTACCGGGGGACTTAGAAGGGGACCTCAAAAGCGGCCGCCTGATGGTGGGAGCCCAAACTTCCGCCGCGAGGCCTGGCGGCGCCCATTTTTTCGGCTCGGACAGGGGTGGTTCGCGGTGTGTTTTGCCTGTGTTGCTTGAAGTTCCCAGCGACAATCGCGAGGGCATTTTAGGCGGGAAACCAAATAGACAGCAGCTTGGGAGACTGAGGAGTCCATGAACCCCATGCGACCTAGTCGGTGGTCCATGGACATAGGTGAATTGGAGAGTCCAATTCCTGGATTTTGCCGGAGAATTTGAACAGTCTCCCCTCATCCAGTTCAAAATTGCCCCGTGGACCAGAGATGTCGCAACCAGGGGCTATGGATTTTCCTAATTTGCCCCATTCGCCTGACGGGTAATGCTCACTTCGGATTTATCGGGATCCCAATCAGGGGCCGTCCTCAAGATTGATGGTGACTAAAACTGTGAATAGTGTCTCACCCACAAGTGTCATGAATCCCCCAACGCAAAATAGAACTATTCATCGCCCAGGGGTGTACCTCCATGTACAGAACTTGTGGCAGACCCTCAGCTTCCACTTTGAAGCCAAATTTGATTTGTGTATTGGGATAGTTAGTTACCCCAGCTCCCTAGCGGCTTTCCAACCACCACCATAGATGAGGATACCCCCAGCTCCCTAGCGGCTTTCCAACCACCACTAGGTCCTCCAGTAGAGAGGCTAGAATAAGGGCACCATCTTTTTTCTGTAGTCTACTTTAGTAGGGGAACCCAAAACCCGGGTGAGAAAGGGCGCTACCGGGGGACCTAGATAGATGATCAACCAGGGCTACCCCCGCCAGGCGTCCCATGGCCGAATTTTCATCGAAAAGCGCCTCGCAGAGGGGGGCGTCCAGGTGCGGCACCAGCTCCGGCGGCACGGAGCCGTGGAACTCCTTCCGCAGCCGGTCCTGGCAGAATCTCTGGACGGCCGCGGGATGGCGTGGACCTGGGTGGAAATTGTGAACCACTTTCTTGCGGTGTGGTTAACTCGGCTGAAGTTTCCGGAAAGGAAAGGGAAAGGGGGATGTTCCCCAATTTTCACACTTGACACCTCTCCACATGCGTGGTTTCCTTGTGGTTTCTGTTTGGTCCCCTTGCGGTTCCCTTGTCAGACCGTACCAAAGACATGGAGGGAAAAAGGAATCATCCACTTTTGGCTTGTCACTCAGAGCAACCTTGCTATAAACAAGCCTAGCAGGTGATGTTTGAAACCGTGCAAGGGTGGTCGTATTCCAATCAACCCCCTCTGGTCAAGCAACTAGTAACCCTTAAGAAAGGGAACTCTGACCATCAGCTTGACCAATAGGTTCTCCAAAGTCATGGCCCATACGAATTTGGACGCCAAGGCTTCGCAAGACGCGCGAGTAAAGGGAGGTGTGTCAGGCGCGACAACAAAAAAAGACAGGGAGGAGCTGGGCTAAGCTGGGCTAGCGTCCTGATGGCACAGGTGGTTGGTCATGTAGGGCCGTGCCTTGCCATCTGCACAAATGCGGATGGCGCAAAACATGCAGGCCATTGATGCAGCGAAGCTGCAAAGGGCGAGTTCACGCTCGGCAGCTTGTACATGGCTGCAAGTCCGAAGAAATCCTGTTTCAGAGGTGTAACAAGCTGGCAGGCATGGTACCTGATGTGGGTGTAGCTCGTTTGAGGCTCGGTACCCTTTTTGGGGTTGGTTAAAGCCAAAAGGAAAACCTAAGCCCATTTTGGGGCCTAATTTGACGTGCTTTGAGGGCACTCAGCGCCGGCCGCTTGAGCCCTGCTTCGCTGCAATCGGCACAGGGTGCGCGATGATCGGGCGTGTCGTTCGCAGGACCCATACCCTTCCAGGGTTGTTTCAGAGGGAAACAAAAATGAAACTCCACACAGCATGTTTTGGTGGTTGTTTTTGCCTAAGGATACCCATGTTGTTGTCCCTGGTGGTTTTCAATTAAAGCCCACTGGCAACCATAGGGCCTGTGTCCATGTGACAATCCCAGACCCGCCTCGGGAATGAGGTCTGTGTCCTGCGATCGGAGCGGATGGGCAATTCGCGCAAGACGACAAGTATCCAGATGGGCGTGCCTTTTCTTGGGGTACCACTTGTTTGGTTGTTTGGCTTTTAGAGGGAAGCCAAAAGGAAACCACCTACTTTGGTGGCTCTCCATTTTTTAGACAACACTTGTGGAGCGATTCAGCTGCAGGGTCAAGTGGTGGTTTTCGTGCTGGATAAACCCATCATACTCTGTACATGCTGGATGAACCACCGGATTTCGTCCATCCACAGTAGGATTAACAACGATACAGTTTTGATGAATCGGGTGTGCGCTCATTCAAGGGCATCCATCCTTGATTTCACATGTGGAAGATACATCGCCATCTAGGTACCTTATGGGGGGTGATGAGTCGGGGCAGGGTTCCATGTTTTTATTCCCTCAGGCGGTTTGTTTTTGGCGTTCAACGGAAGCAAAACAAAAAGTCTCTCTTTTTTTTTTGGGGGGGGGGGGGTCCGGCAAGAATCTTAAGCCCAAGTGGACGATCGGCCCTGGATTCCCATGTTTTGAGTGGTCTACTTCCAATTTTTAAGGAATTATCCAGTCATGACTCATGACTTTCCGATTGTCAGACCTCAGAGCCCCAGCCCCAAAACACTCCTCGTTTTGGTGTGGGGGGAAAATGCCTCTGGCCAGGGGGGCGTTTTGGGGCGAAATGCCAACCACGGGAAAACGGGGGCAAAATGCCCCCCAAGTTAAGGAAAACGGAGGGAATTGACAGAGTGGCTCGATATCGGGCGCCCGGGCAAACTTGAAAAGGCTGTCGTCGAAGAGCTGCGTGAAGTCTCTCGGCAGCGGCTCGTTCTCCTTGCAGACGGCTTTCTTTTGGGGGGGGAGCCATCACCTGGGTCGTCAAAAATACCGCCGGTTCCTGATTGGACGCTGACTCCGCCGGTTCCTGATTGGACGCTGACTCCTAGAACATAGCTGCTGCTCCTACCCACCACATAAGGTGCAGATTTACTAGTGGACATCATTGATGTGGGGATTGTCCACCAACCACTTGTGAGGTGGTTCCCTATTAAATGATCGGGCATCAGAAAGAGTTGGTGTGAAGATAGCAAACCAAAGACACAGCATGCGACTGAGAAGTTGGTTGGATTTCGCGGGCATAATTATCGGTTAGGGATTGACTCAGTCGGTTGCTTGAAGTATCGGTTCGCGAACTGCAAGTGTCCCACTCCCAAGACCCAAAAACTGTTCGAACCAAGTGTGTCTTCCTGGCTTCTGTGGGGTATCGTTTCTTTCCTCAGCATCGGTTTCAAAGTGGGTTTGGGCCTGCAAGACAAGCTTAGGGACAGCCCCTTACATAACGAAAAGGCGCGGGAGTCTTGTGTCTACCGTAAAGGTGAAACCAAAGTAACCCCAGGCTCCTTGGACTGTGAAGCTGGCGCAATGATTTCACCAACAACCCCAGATTCTGACAGGCGTTGATCCAGGGAGGCCAAACCCAATACCACCTTCGATCGGAACGGTTCAGAAGAACCTTTTCAGGGATAGGGAGGGTCCTATCTCGAAGCTGCAGGTAAAGCAAGGTGTGGGATTTTCCTGACATCCCATTAACCCCGGCAAAGGCTGAGTTCAGAACCTCCACAAATCGTCGGTCTCAAAATTGGGTGCCAGAAATCCCCCCTTTCCTCTGAGGTTCCCTTTAAAGCGTCCCCACCTCTCTGCCTGAGTGGATTGTCCAACAAAAAGTCCAAACTGTTTTTTACAAACCAACATGGTCTTCCAAAAAAGGCTCAAAGTGCCGCAGTTCAGGGAGTGGGCCATCAGAAAGCCACACGTCCCGCGGCCCCCTTTGCGTCCCCTTTGTCTCCTGCAAGCAACTTCTGAGGTTCATTGCCAAGCCCTGCGTGTGAGGGATGTGGTGGTACTCGCTGAGCTCAGGCTCCTCAAGGGAGTGCTACTTCCATGGCTCGTTTCTGCCTGGAAAAGATGAGCAAGGATTTGCAGTAGTGATAGATTCCCCTATTTGAAACCAACGAGGAAAGTACAAACATATTCTTAATAGTAAATGGAAGCACATGCTCAGAATAAGGGGCTCGTTACCCTTTTTTCTTAGAGGGATTTTGGGAATCCCCTAACAAAAACTATACGAAGACTTGCAATGGGAAAATTAGGGTCAGCCTGAGTCATTCATCAACGCAGGGAGAAGTCCCAAACCAGAAGCGCTGCAACAATGTGTCAGAGCCGTTCCCTTCTGGACAAAATCCTATGTCGTACCAGTTGGGTTTGGTGGCTTATGCCAGGAATTCTGTTTTGTCTATCCCCACTGGTGCCATCCACAAGAATAACCTCCTATACACCAGGGGTCTTGATCGCTCGATCACCTCTGTCCCCAAGTCACTACAAACTCCCATATTAGGAGCCCAGGACGAGGTGAATCAATTGTCATCGTTCACTTCCTGAGAACCGCACCGCCATTTAAGGGGTCCCAATTTGGAGGGAAATAAAACACCCCTATTTTTTGCTGCGCTAGGTTGACAAACTGTGGTCAACCTGGGCAAACTCTCCCATCCTCGCCGTAAGGATAGCTCAGGTCGCAGTCGCCAACCCTCAAAAGCCTAGGTATCGCGGCAAGAAGTCTGTTCCCGGGCAAACAGCCAGCCAGCCATCGGCTTGGGGTATACTTTTTTGAGGCTCGGTACCCGTCTTTGGGGGGCTACCCCTAACCCACTTGAACATGTTCAAGCATCCTTATGTTGCTTCCCTTTCAAAGGGGGCCAAGCCTGCTTATTTCAACAATGTTGACCCTGTCATTCTCCGCACAACGTGCACCGATGGTCTTTGGCCAAAGCTAAGGACTGGGCCACCTAACGAGGGTGTCGATGACTTGCCTGTTCTTCTCGCAATCCAGGAAGTCATCCTCGGATCAAACGTCAGCCAAATGGCCAGAAACCCGAAACCTACTGCTGCGATCGGAACCGTCAACTGGAGCCCTTGCGTTGAGAGTCCCACCCGCTGATCCTGAGCTGCTGGCTCCGAACATCTGCACGGAGCCGACCACGCAGAGTCGACCCATCCCAGCCTGGCGCTAGAAAACCCTTTCGTGCTCTCTCGGGAAATGGGCGTCACAAAAAACGAAATCCCAGAATGGGTGGTATTCTGTTGGTTTCCCTTTAAAACCAACCAGAGGGGTGCCCTCAAAAAAACACGACACCCAAATGGGTGTTTTTTTTGGACAGCTGGAAACCCGAAGTGAAAGGAACCCCCGCATCCATGGAAACGAGGACCGCCCCCCTGGAGACCCCGAACCGGCGCGCGCGCTCCACGGGTCCTTGTTGTGAACCGCGGCGATGGGGCGGTTCAAGGGGTATGAGATGGGCCTCGGATCAGGCCAGAACACAACCTGAGCGTATCCTATTCTCAGGAGACCGCTTCGATAAGCGGGGGTGGGGGGGTTTGTTGTTCGACGAAAACGCGGAACAACAAGACCCCCCCCCCCCCCGCGCCCCCCCCCCCCCCCCGGCGAACAACAACAAGTCCCCCCCCCTGAGTCTCACTTGTTGTTCGACCCCCTCCCCCCCAACAACAAGTCCCCCCCCCCCACCTGTTGTTCAACTCCCCCCCCCCCGGCGAACAACAACAAGTCCTCCCCGGCCTCCCCGCCCCCCGGGCTTGTTGTTCGACCCCCCCCCCCAAACAACAAGCCCCCCCCCCCAACTTGTTGTTCGACCCCCCCCCCGAACAACAAGCCCCCCCCCCCCACTTGTTGTTCGCCCCCCCGCCCCCAAACAACAACCCCCGCCCCCCAACTGTTGTTCGACCCCTGCCCCCAGACAACCAGTCCCCCCCCCCCTGTTGTTCAACTCCCCCCCCAAACAACAAGTCCCCCCCCGCGTATGCGGAGCCCCCCCCCCCCCTCCGAACGACAAGTCCGTCCCCCCCCCCCCACCCACGTTCGACCCTGCCCGAACAACAAGTCCCCCCCCACCCCGTCGTGCAAGCCCCCCGCGCTGCTGAAATCCAGCTTAGGAAAATCAAGCCTTCAGACAAGAACGCCGCCGCACGAGAGAGATTTCGTGGCTCTGACATGCGGCCGATCACCCCATCCACCGAACTGGAAGTAAAGCCCATGTGCATAGTCGTTTGGAGCAACGTAGCTCCCCCCCCCCCCCCCCCCCGGAACTAAGAACAACAAGTCCCCCCCTCCCCCACTTGTTGTTCAACAACAACAACCAGCCCCCCACTTGTTGTTCGCCCCCCCCCAAACAACAAGTCCCCCCCCGTGTCGTTCGACCCCCCCCCCCGGGAACAACAAGTCCCCCCCCTTGTTCCCCAGAACAAGAAGTCCTCTCCCGCCCACTTGCTGCTCGACCCCCCCCCCCCCAGCGAACAACAACAAGTCCCCCCAGCGAACAACAACTCCCCCCCTCCCCCCCACTTGTTATTCGAGCCCCACCCCCCCGAACAACAAACCCCCCCACCCCTTATCGAAGGGGTATGATTCTCAGACAGACAGACAGGCAGGCAGGTAGGCTCTAAGGCAGGTAGGCTCTAAGGCAGGCAGGCTCTAAGGCGGGCAGGCTCTAA